ATATGCATATTCAGTAGGTCTGATAATCGACTATTATCTATTTTTAATACCCCTAAGTGGTAAGGGATGTCCACCCATAAATATATATTTTATTATATTTTAGAATTGAAAAATATAATATATGCAACCTTAAATTTTCACCCTTCTAGCATCAACCCCATTTTTTATTTTTAATTTATATGGCAAACAAATGTATAATAATTTCTCAGGACAATATAGCGACATCTCGATAACTAATATAAATACATAGATATATAGAAAACACCCAGACCGATACAAACAATCATATTCATGAATACAAATGTTTGCACCGTGCGAGGAATCAAACCCACGACCATCGGAAGTAATGTGAATTGTGAAAAGTAAAATTGAAGAGTAATCGTCTATAATGGTATGGACGTGTAATGCGTAGGAATGAAGATAATATCTTAAGGAAGGTGTTACATATGAATGTGGATGGTTATAAGGGCAGAGGAAGACCGAAAAAGAAATGGATGGACTGTAAAAGCTGATATGGTAAGAAAGGGAGTTAATAACGAAATTATTGCGAACAGAGATGAATGGAAGAGAAAAACATGTTACGACGACCACAAATAAATGGGATAAGGAAGAAGCTGATGATGATGATGATGATGAAAGTCAAAAAGAACAATAATAATTTATAAGAAAAAACAACGTTTAATTAGGCATCTAGTAATTAAATAAATTATATATTACTAGCTAGCCGGCAAACGTTGTTATGCCTTAAAATAAAAAAATAATTAGGGGTGGACTACCCCTAACATTTAGGGGGATGAAAAATAGATGTTGGCCGATTCTCAGACCTACTCAATACGCTCACGAAATTTCATGAGAATCGGTCAAGCCGTTTCGGAGGAGAACGAAAACTGTGACACGAGAATTTTATATATAAGATTTATTATAATTACTTAGACATATATAAATACATGATGTAAATTGAACTAAACGATGTTATCCAATTCCGTAGTACCAAATAATACTAAAAAAGTCCAAAATGACCACAAACTCCTTTCTACAATATTGATTCGTTCGTACAGATCTGAGCTCGTTATTTCACCCTTGTGTTGTATGCCTCAAATTACAAGAGACAGCGAAATAGAAAATTCTATTAAAGTTACAGAATTAATTTTCTTTATTTCTAATACTGGTTGTTAGTCAACTAATATACTGAAAATGTATTTCTTGTGAAGGTACATACATTTATTTAAAGTTTAATGACCAATACATTATGGTACAAAAGGCGGACGAAAGTGTGTTACTCTTTTACGCTACTGAACGGATTTTGATTGAACTTTACAGTAATATAGCTTATACATCAGAATAACAATTTCATACAAGTACAATGACCACATTGAGAGCGAGGCATTTAGTAATCAAGACCAGTGATTTACGTAATAGGACATTTCACACAGCGCCATCTAGTCCTAAGCTAAGTACAACCTGCGTTGCACATATTAGACACCTGATATAAATGCATAATTTTTTTTTTTAAACATACATAATATACATAGATATAAACATCCATACCCACGAATACAAATATTTGCACCATTCAAGATATAGAACCCGCAAACATTGGGAGTAAAGCGGTGTGCTAAACCGTTACACCACCGAGGATGTCCATTATCTAAATATATATAACTCAAAGGTGACTGACATAGTGATCTATCAACGCACAGCCCAAACCACTGGACGGATCGGGCTGAAATTTGGCATGCAGTTAGATGTTATGACGTAGGCATCCGCTAAGAAAGGATTTTGATTAATTCTACCCCAAGAGGATAAAATAGGGGATGAAAGTTTATATGAAACTTTGTCAATTTTAAACCGATCCGGCTGAGACTTTGCATGCATAAAGCTAACGTAGGCATCTCCTAAGAAAGGACTTTGATAAATTCCACCCCTAAAGGGATAAATTAAAAAGCTAGTTCTATTATCACCGATTGCGTTGTAACAGTACAGTTACAACGCAATCGGTGGGGTCTTTTTTTAGATAGTTTAACTTCGGACTAGTTATCGTTGTGGGAATTGTCGTGAGATTTTTTAAATTTAATTTCAAGACACTAATAAGTACATATGGCGGACTTAACACCTTACGGTTTTACCATTCAACAATGAGTAGTGCAGAGAATAGGACACAGTTACCTAGATACATCAAAATAATAATTGCATTTAATAATGGCTGGTAAGACAAATTCAATATTGTGTACTAAGCACTGCTAATACTAACACACAATATCGTTATTTAGTATATAAGACCATTATTTCTATGCCAATGATGACTCCTCGCGCGCCCGGAATGGTCTGTTCCACACAAAATTTTTTGTTCTTTGCGATTTTTTTAAGCATATGCCGGATCGATCCCCTCCAATTCAAACGGAGATCGATAATACGACGGCCTGTAGCCGATTTCGAACTTGTTCCCTATTACTAAAGTCGTATCCGTCAGGCAGGAGTTGGCCTTCAGCTTCTCTCCATAAGTCCCTTCCGAACGGGTTTTAACATGCCATCTGCACTTTAACGCCCCCTAACGTCCGGTGAAGCTGTAAAGGCCAGCTTCGGCCAACAGCATTAGAGTAGTCCGAAAAAAAAAGGACGGGTAAAATTCGCGACGTGTAACCCCGCTACCGCTTATGCCTTCTCACTACCAAAGTGACCCTTGCTCCTTCCCAAAGCGATGAGTTTCATTCCCACTTTTATTTGTTCCCCGTTTCTAAGCAAATGATATTATATCGGGAGTTAATTTTATTGCCAGATGGCGATGCGGAATTTCCTCGAATCAGTTAAAGCGACTGATTCGGTTCTGACGCTTTTATTTCTCTTTTTCACCTTTTTTTTTATTAAATATTTTCGTAGCTTTACATTCACTTCGGTGATTTCTGTCCGAAATTTATAAACTTACTTCGCTTTTATTTTGTTTTTATTGGAAAAAACGTAAGTTAAATGTTTCTCTAGAACGTTCAACTTGTTTTGCACAAATTCCAACTTATATTTGACGTTTTAGTATATTGTGTGGACGATTTGGAAAGTGCTTTTTAAAACTTTTTAATTCGCTTTAAACATTCACATTTAGCAAGGTGGACCGACGATCTGGTCAAGATCGCTGGAAGGCGATGGATGCGAGCAGCGCAGGGAAGATCGTCGTGGAGATCTTTGGGGGAGGCCTATGTCCAGCAGTGGACGTCTTTCGGGCTGATGATGATGCTCATGATGATTCACATTTAGCATACATATATACATACTACATATACACTCCCTACGATTTATTTTTTTCTCATCATTACATAGTATAAAACAAAGTCACTGTCGCTGCCTGTCCGTCCCTATGTATGCTTAAATCTTTAAAACTAAGAAACGGATTTTGAAGCGGTTTTTTTAATAGACAGAGTGATTCGAGACGAAGGATATATATATATATCCATACATGTACACCCATGCGAAGTCGGGGCGAGTGGTTAGTATACTTATATTATATAACACCTAGAGAGTAAAACATATCACGTTGTCCCCAAATAAATGGGATAAGGAAGAAGCACATGATAGCTGGACCTATTTTGATGGGACTGTAACTCGCAGATACCTATTTTTGTCAGTAATTTAAGCAATCTTTTTCACGTATAGACATCTAATGTTATAAGGCGTAACATAATTTTTTTAAATGTTATATATTTTAATAATAAATAAGTTAAATTTTACTCCATTTAAATCGTGGGTAACAGCTAGTTAAATACGAAATATAAACATTGCTAACTGTTGATTATAATGTACTTCCATCGCCAGAGAGCTAGTTATACAAATCCATACAGAAATTTGTCAAGTATCGGTCAAATACGCTCCATACTTTAAATCCTTAGTCATCTAAAACATATGTATTCATGACTATGATTGTTTGTATCGGTCTGGGCGTTTTCTATATATAATATGTGTGTAATTACGAAAAAAAAAACTTCTTGCGAACAAACCTGATATCGTAGTGATGGATCGGGCACTTTCGAGGGTGTTTTTGGTGGACATCACCATACCGCATGACGAGAACCTCGTGAAAGCCGAAACTGAGAAAAAGAGAAAATATCTCGACCTGGCTCACGAGGTGACCGAAATGTGGGGGGTGATGTCCACCGAAATCATTCCAATCGTTATGTCGGTGAACGGTCTTATCCCAACCAGTCTGGAACAACATCTCAGACGGTTGGGATTCCGGGGCGGCTCACTCCCGGGAAAGATGCAGAAAGCGGTGCTCTTAGATTCTGCCTGCATTGTACGCCGGTTTCTCTCCCTGGGGCCCTGAACCCCGGCCGACTGTCTTCTGCCGGGGGTAAGTTGCCATCTCCTCTCCTTAAGAGGGGAGATGAGAATTATTTTTTGAAGTTTAGAAACAATAATAATAACGGTTTATTGCGCATACATAAACATAGGACAGTAAGTACAAAACAATGAAAATAAATGTTTTACAAAAGGCGGTCTTATCGCTATCAGCAATTCCTTACAGACAACCCGGTGCTAACAGAGAGTATTTACATAAAGAGAGAAGGTAGGAGGCGCACTAAACACTCTATTTATTATACAATTATAGATAAACAAACATTTTATAAACATAACACACACCAATACATACAATATACATACATATACTTCATAATAATGGACGAGAGGACGTGATATTATTCTATTATAGGGATTATGCGATAGATAATGCAATTTTAATAATTTTTGAAAATTAGTTCTTAAAACTATAAAAACTATTTAATATCAAGTCCAGTGCAGTAGTCTAAAGTAGGCCTAACTTGTATCTCAGACACCATTGCCCACCTAAAGATAACATGCTATACGATTCTTAAGAGTTGAACGAAAAAATTAAATGAAGACTAATGTAGGGTATAGTTTCTTTTTTTATCCTGCAATCAGCTTACCAAGCCTTTAACAGATTGGTTGTGGGGCTGTTGACGGGAGAGAAGTATACCTCGAGTGAGGAAACTGTCTCATCGGTGAATAAGATCCCATGCTTGGAGTCTCTTAAGCCTTCTGCATATCAATTGGTCTCGTAGTGCTGTTGCAAGGATATTGGTATGCGCCCCTATACGATCTCTGTATACTCTTGTTCTGTGCTCTATTTCTTCTCTGATTGTTCTCATTCCTGTGTACATTTCTGTTGTTCTAATGAATAGAGGTGCAGCAGTTCTGGTTTTGAGTGCTTTATTCTGAAACCGTTGCGAAATCTCTATGTTGGAATTCTTTGCTGATCCCCATAACTCGATGCCGTATGTCCAGATTGGGTTTGTTATGGTTTTATAAATGAGTATCTTGTTTTCCATGGTTACATGTGATCCTCTGCCCGTCAGCCAGTTCAGGTTTCTGAGCCGTGAGGGTATAGTTATAAATAAAATAAATCGTGGCGTTGAGGCAATGAATGCGTCACATCGTATGGTCCAACCACAATCGTAAGGCTAGGATAGTATCATCATGACTTTATTAAAACCTCGAGAGAGAAATGAATAGATAATGAACCTCTAGAATGGATTATGGCCAACCGCAGTGGAATTCATTGCGATCAAAGGGTCCCATTAAAATGGTCTACCTATATATCACAGAGGGTCGGCCTCCATTAGCCGCGTCTTGAGATTACGGCGAGAGGTGTTCATACAATTTACTTTAAATGACAACCCATCTCTGATGATATGAAATAGCACCTTCTGTATTGAGGAATAACGTTAAAAGTCTGTTTGTCCGGTTTAAGTTGATTCTTGGATATTGAGCTGTATATGATCTACTTTTTAATGGAATTGAAAATCCATCTTGGGTTTATTATATAGTATAAAACATCCCCTCCAATCGGTCCTCGTCCAATTCAAACGGGGATCGATATTACGACGGCCTGAGCCGCGGTTCGAACACCTAGTGGTGCCCTCAGTCTCCGTCCGTATCCGTCAGGCGGGAGTTTGCCTTCAGCCGCTCCATAAGTCCTTCCGCGGGTTTGGAGTGGCATCTGCACTCGCCCCCTACCATCCGATAAAGCTGTAAAGACCAGCTGCGGCCAACAGCATTAGAGTAGTCCTAAAAAAAAAGTATAAAACAAAGTCGCTGTCACTGTCTGTCCGTCTATGTATGCTTAAATCTTTAAAACTACGCAACGAATTTTGAAGTGGTTTTTTTAATAGACAGAGTGATTCAAGAGGAATGTTTAGATATATAATATATGTACACCCGAGCGAAGCCGGGGCGAATAGCTAGTAATATTGTAAACACGAACGTAACTCTGTCTGTCTCGCTATCACGCCAAAAGTACTGAACGAATTTAAATGAAATTTGATACACAGATAGTCCAGACCTTGAGAAACGGTATGGCTACTTTTTATTGCGAAAAAGGATTGTAAGGGATTGAAAGGGGACATGAAAGGTTTACGATAAAAAATATTGTAGTTTCCAGTTTCCTGATCTTGAACTGAACTGGGCAAAAGGGCTAGCCCTGAGACGCCATCCTACCTCCCCCCCTCCCCTTTAAGAAAGTTCGGATGACGCATCTGTGATTGTGACGATCTGATAATTATAAAGATGTAATAATGAATGTGAATGAAGCAAAATTTTGTTTAAAGCAGAGAGAACCAAATGCATTTGGTTCTCTCTGCCTACCTCCTAAAATCAAACTTGAAAACAGATAGTTGTTACTGAATATCATCGAATACTACCGCGTTCACCAGACTAATCTTCTAGCGACAAAAATATGTCTTTCCCGAAACAAAACGTACTTTTTCACTACAAATAGATTTATTCAAATTCTTTATGAATAAACTTTTGCATGTCCATTTTTATTCAAATTTTATTTTGTTCTGACTTTGCAGCATCGAATCTGAATATGATTTTAGGCGCAAAGTTTCTCTGCACTCTATTTTTATTTTCTTTTAATTGTAACGATGACAGAATGCATTTTCACTACAGATTTAAAAACATCTAAGGTACATTCTGTATCACAAAGCAGCTCGTAAGCTGTTTCGGTTCAAATTTTGAGATTTGATAGGAAAACTGGCAGGCAGTTTTCGGGACTTTTGACCCAAGTATAGGCACCTTTTTTTTATACTACTATGATGGCAAACAGCCATACGGCCCATCTGATGGTAAATGGTTACCGTAGCCTATGGACGCCTGAAACACCAGGGGTGTCACATGCGCGTTAATCTTAATATACCCTTCGTGAAGAACCCTATGCTGTAGTCTCGTGAGAAAACCTCAACAGGAAGTTCATTCCACAATCTAAGTGTACGCGGGAGGAAGCTCCTCTGAAACCGCTCTGTTCACGCTGCACCTTTGCCAACGTACGTCGTACATACGTCAACACTCACCTTCGCTTGTGTTTCTCTCCCTACCCAACCAAATCTGGTAGAAGTCTGCTGATCCAGATTTGGTACCTGTTCTAGTATATAACTTACTACAGTTCTAAATAGGTCAAGATTATTTAAAAGATTGTAGAAAAATGGTCATTTTTCGTTAGCTCTTAATAAATATTCGTTTTTTATTGCTTAGTATAATATAATTTAAATAGAACAGAATAGAAAATCATTTATAGTTGAGACACAACATTCTGTCAGGTTAGTTAGTATGAGAATAAAACGGTTTGTAAACAAGTCGACAATTTCATGAAATTATAGCACCCCGCAAACGTTGTATTGCTATAGAATAGAATAGAATAGAATAGAAAATCGTTTATTCATATAAAATTAATTTAAGCACTTTTGAATAGCCATAACAATTTTTTTTAATCTACCGCTCATTCTGTTACAATAAAATACCAGAGTCTGTTATAAATCTGCCAGAAAAAAGATTTAAATGTCAAATAAAACAGTTCCTTTGCAAAAAAGCTTACTATAAAATTGAAGAATTCGTTAACGATTTTTATAGAAAAACTTTAAATCTATAGCACTGACAATATTATCTGATTACATTAATAATGAGTGCGTAGCGACTTCTATGTTGATTATCGCATGCCTCTGACTTGTTATACTGTAATTATTTATATAAAAAAAAAAACATCTATTAAAAAGAGCAACACACAAGTTTCTTGCTCATTCTTCTTGTGATGAATCTGCATTCCGAATGAGTGGTAGAATCAAAATATGACTATTCAAAAGTGCTTGTAATGAGTTTATTTGAATAAAGATTATTTCTATTTCTACCACTCATTCGGAATGCAGATTCATCACAAGAAGAATGAGCAAGAAACTTGTGTGTTGCTCTTTTAAACAATCCTTGTAAGTTCACATTTTACAAGTCGAAACGTGTGAATGCAAACTACCAACCAGCACTAATTTATTTAGGCTCAAATATAAAACACAATAAGATAAAATCAGTCGTAGTGATAAGAGCAGACCAGCTCCTACAAGCAGCACTCGTTCACGAGTATGACGGATGAGCCAGCCATCACTGCGCTCGACCATATTTTAGGAATCCCAATGACCCGGCCCACTACGCCGCCACATGTCTGGACATTTTAGTGAGCGTGACTACTCATACCACTCGACCTCGTCATAGCTAATTTTAGTACTAAAATCAGAATTTGAGATTATTCTATATTGAGAATAATATTTCTGATTCAGATTTACGTATCCCCCTCAGAGACATAAACGTCGTGATGTTTAAACATAAAAATGGGCAATAAAATTTTTCAATCTCACACGACCCACTAAAACGTGGGAGTTAAAATACTGGCATGTCATAAAATAAGATATGATCATTTTAACTTTATAAAGTAGTGCGAACTTAGATATTTTCCTCAGTCTTACTGCCACTTTGCCCTGTTACTCGTACAGTTAAGTTTTACTGAGGTCATGAAAAAAAGTACTTGCTCACGTAAAATGGGATATACAATGTAAGATGCGGACGTACGAACATATTCCAACTTATATTATATTGTACATGACAAACTTAGGTTATGTCTTTAAATATTTGTTTGTTACGCGACTATACACGACTTGCGGTATTAAACAGTTATCATTAAAGATGTCCAGCAGTGGACTGCAGTGGACTGATCATGATGATGAGTGAGTCACTGGCAAGATCTATATTTAGAATAGAATAGATTAGAATAACATTTATTACATCACACATCACAACACAATAAAAACGATGTTGACTGCATATAAATTATTATATAAGGTAAACGTAAATAAAAAAAACAATTCATTAAATTAGAGATGAAATCATTATATACAAAAAAAATTATAAATAAAAGAACAAAATAGTAACAAACAAATAAATAATAATAATAATAAAAAACCAATATTTCTTTTCTGTCTTCGAAAACAAATAAAATATGACGTAATTATGAACAGTCGACTGTCCATAACTATGTCATATATTATTTGTTTATCATTATATAGTATAAGTATATCTTCAACAACAAAATTGCCGGATCGCTGGGCGCTTTGGACTGGAAAGGCCGGAACATGCTCGCTAAAAGTATAATAAAAAAAAAGGAAAAGAAAGGGAAAAAAAAATTGCCGAATTACGACAAAAAGTGAACTGTGAAATTAAACAATCAATAATTAAACAAAACCTGGACTATAACAAATAGTGAACTTTGAAAATAGTGTTAGAATAAGATTTCATTACATTGTGCAATGTAAGAATTCATAATGTAACAATACACATTATGAATTCTTACACTGCATATACAATTATATGAAAACTGTGAAATTAGTAGTAGTGTAAGATTTATATAATTGTATATGCATATTGATAAATCTAATCCTCCAAATAAAGATGGGTGACACTGCATGTTGTCAACTCACCCGGCCGGCCAGCGGTGGTTCTGGGCCAGACGGATAAGGACTGCCTCGGTGTCACTGTTAGGCAAATTGTAACATCTCGGCTGGAGTTGTACAAAAGTGGAAATTAAAGTAAATTAAAAAAGGCACGGACGAATATGCTGTGGAAAATTGTAATTAAAAAAAAAATTGCAGGATCGAAATTTAGCGTACCAGTTCTGGTACTGGCGTACTGTTCACACACCTTCTCCACACACGTCGGTCAATTTCTTTCTGGCTTGAACAGCATTTTTGCCATTTCTGTAGTAAAACAGTAAGATATGTCGAAAATTCTGCTTATGGCTCTCCATATTTAAAAGAGCACCAACCAAAAACTACTGCGTAGATTTTTTCACACACAAGCCTTGCTATATGAGCTCTCAAAGCATATATTTTTTTATTTTTATACCACTTAGGTGGCAAATAAGCATACGGCCCATCTGATGCTAAACGGTTACCATAGCCTATGGACGCCTGAAACACACACACATACGCGTTGCCGACCTTAATATACCCTTCTTGAAAAACCACTTCTCAAATCTCTCTCTTCAAATCTATTATTGAACTCCAACAAAACTAAGTGCATTAAATTCACGCTGCCTAATGTAAAACAAGTAAATACGCAGCTATTGCTTAATGATGAAATAGTAAATTTTGTTAATGATACAGTTTTTTTAGGAATAACAGTGGACTCGAAGTTAAATGGGGGCCCCATATTTCAAAATTAGCCAGTAGACTTAGTTCTGCTGCTTATGCAATTAGAAGGATAAGGCAATTAACAGACGTGGCGACGGCAAAACTTGTATATTTTAGTTATTTCCATAGCATTATGTCATATGGCATACTGCTATGGGGTAAAGCTGCCGATATAAATACTATATTTATTTTACAAAAGAGAGCCATACGTTCTATTTATGGTATGGGTTCTAGAGAGTCATTACGTCAATGCTTTAAACACACACCGTTGCCTCACAGTACATTTATGAAAATATTATGTATACAAGGAAAAACTTAGATAGTTTCAAGAAACTTAAAGACTGTACAAGTAGAAACTTACGCAATAAAAATAAGCTAATTTTACCTAAATTTTTTTACCTAAATTTTACCACATTGTGGGGTACACAATTAAAAGGTCTTCGATTTTCAAAATATGTGGACTGTATTTCAATTTGTTTCTTATTCTATGGGTCGGCCGGCCGGAGTGGGGTTTTCTTGGTCGTTGCGCCGGCGGTGGTTCTTCGTCGGTGGCGTATGCGTAAGAGAGCGCGATCGAGAACCAACCCGCCTTTTACGGGCGCCCGAGCGCGTCCTTCCCCACCCCCGCCGAGCTGTGCGCGTCGGCCGTCCCACCCTCCCGACAATTCCTGCACATGTCGGTGACCGACGGGCCGGAACAGCGAATACGCACACATTTAAAATTAAATACAATAGTAACAATACAAAAAACTACAAAAAACCACGTGCGACTAAATGCCACATGTTCAGGCTACACTAAAGCTGTGATCCCTAAGAATTTACACAATGGGCGGACATAGAATTCACAGTATCTATGCCGCTACAAAGGGTATATGGTACAAACAATAGTCTAACCTAAACAATAGTCAAAACACTGGAAAAATACAAATTTATACACAAATTTATTTACATATTTTCGATGCCGACTCGTGGTCCGCAACAGCCTCCCCCGGCGCAGATCTTCGCAGCCCTTATCCCTAGGGAGGACCACCAGCCTTCGGGTCGGCCTTCGAAAAATTCCCTCGCGTTCGTCCGTCCGTCCGCGTTCACCGCAACGCCACTTGACCCATTTCCCCGCTTCGGCGGGGCGCTCCCGGCCCAGCTTCCATGCCCGTCGCCTGTATTCTTCTGCGAGCAGCAGCACCTGTGCCGGGGTCCTCCTCACTCGGTCATATGAGGAGAACCGCATTCTGTCCATTACGGGCTTTGCCTTCGCCCGGGCACGGGCTACTGTCTCTGCAGGGACGGGCTTGCTTTCCTTGGGTCGTTCTTTCTCTGGAGCGTATACAAGCGCCGGCCCGACGGATCTGTCGGCGGCGGTCCGTATTGTATATCTCGCGCGGGTCGCGTCGTTAGTTACGTCGTGGGCGGTCGGTACCCAGCGCCACTGTGTTGGTTCTGTATGTTCGGCGCTTTCTGCCATCCGGCGGGCCGCGTGTGGATTGTATCGAGCGGTGTCGTTCCTAGTCCAATGTAGCGTCTTCTTCGAGACCGTCCATAGGAAGACTTCGGCCGCGCGACGACGTCCTTTCAGTACGTCAGCGGCCAGTCGGGGTCCTACCAGGCTCGCCTGAAGCTCCATCCGGGGTATACTCTGCGCTTTCATGGGCGCTACCCTCGCTTTGGCTGCTACCAGGACGACGTTAACGCTACGATCCTCGCGTTCCGTCCTCCAATACGCGGCTGTGGCATATGCCTGTTCGCTTGCGTCCGTGAATACGTGCAGTTGCGACCGTTGGCTGTCGTTCGTGCCATACCATCGCGGCAATCTCAGTTCCTCTATATAGGCTAAGTCATCTCTCCATTCCTGGAACATCCGCGCTTCCTCGGCGGGCAGAGAGTCATCCCATTCGACCTTCTGCACCCACAGCGCCTGCAAGATGATTTTTGCCGTGATGGTGTAAGGGCTCAGCAGCCCGAGCGGGTCGAACAATGACATCACCGCTCCTAAGGCTTCCCTTTTCGTCGGTATCCGCGTGCCGTGCTTCACTTCTCGTGGGACGCGTGGCATGCCGGTGTTGAACGCCAGCTGGTCTTCGGCTGACATCCACAATAACCCCAATGTCTTTCCGTATGGATGTGCGTTGGCTCCCAGTTCCTTCGGCGTCCTCGCTCGCTGGTCCTCACTCACATTCTCTAGCAGGCTCGGTCGGTTTGTATTCCAACCCGCCAGCGTGAATCCTATCCCGCCATGAACCTCTACTACCTCTCGTATGGCGCGGGCTGCTTCCTCTTCGGAGTCAAAGCTATCGACCCAGTCGTCCATGTAGTGGTTCCTTGTTATGGCGGTGTACGCTGACGGGTGCGACTCTCGGTGCTCTGCCGCGTTCCTGTCTCGAACGCTGTGTGCGATGAACGGTGAGCTCCTCGCCCCGAAAATCATTGAGGTCATTACGTATTTCTGCGGCGGGTTAATCCTGTCATCTCCTCGCCACAGAAACTGTTGTGCTGCTCTATCTTCTTCCCGTATCTTAATCTGCAGGAACATCTCTCGTATGTCCGCCGTGATAGCTACGGGCTTCTCGCGGAAACGGTATAACACACCGTTAAGCGACCGTAGCATATCTGGCCCATCCAGCAGTGCGTCGTTCAAGCACATTCCCTTCGAACGGGCCGCGGCGTCGAATACGAGTCGCAGCTTTCCGGGTTTATTCGGATTCGTCACTCCGAAATGGGGAAGGTACCACGCGCGGTCGTTGTTGAACCGGTCGTCGGTTACTTTCTCGGCGTAACCCTTGTCCAACAACTTGTTTATCTCCGCGGTATACGCCAGCCGGAATTCCGTAGAGCGATCCATCCGCCGCTCTATTCCCCTCAGTCGGCTCGCTGCCATGTCGTAGCTGGGAGGTAGAGCGACGTTATCTCTCTCCCACGGCAATCCTACGACGTATCGCCCATCCACTCTCGTCGCTGTGCGGTTGAATGTGGCGACGGCGCGCTCCTCCTTAGCAATGGGTAATCTCTTCGACGATATACCCAACGCGTCGATGTCGTAATGCGCTTTTATTATGCCCTCTATATGCCGCATGTCTGGCTCGGCGTTGCGCTGTGTCAACCGCACGTGGAGGACATGTTCCTCGTCTTCCACGACACTTCTGGGTACCGTTCCGTGGATGACCCATCCCAGTCGTGTCAGCGACGCTGCGGGTTGATTGTGCCTTCCTGTGAGCAGCTTCCGCGTAACAATCAGATGCCAGTTGTCTGACCCGATCAAGACCTTGGGTCTGGCATCTTCGTAGCACACTTGCTCGCAAGTGAGTTGTCGCAGGTGTCCGTACGCGAGTATTTCCGGGTTCACTCGCTGCGTTCCTAGGGTGAGATCCCGGATCGTACGCGCCCTCACCGAGTGTTCTTCGTCCGTATGGTGTCGCCCTCTGATGATGACATCAGCCACTCGGCTTGAGGCTTCGTGCCAGCTCGAGGCCGCTCCCTGAATTCTCAGAGATCGCGTCGGACCTTCGGCTCCGATCTGTTCTGCGATCTCCGCATCGATGAGTGTAACCGTCGAGCCTTCATCTAGCATCGCGTACGTCTCTACTTCGCGTCCCGTCTTGCCTTTCACGATGATGGGACACACCTTTAACAACACTTGGCTGTTCTCTGGCAAGCGTGCTGCGGCTGTAATCGCGGTGTCCTCTTGCCGCTTCGGCGGTTCTTCTGGGGGGTGCAGCAGGGCGTGGTGTGGCTTACGACACTCTCTCACACCACATTTGCGTGCCTTACACTTGAACCTTCTGTGCGTGCTGTTCATGCATTGGAAGCACATCTTATTTGTTTTCGCCCACTCCCATCTGTCCGATAACGACATGTCGTTCAGCTTCTTACACTTCGGCGTTACGTGTGCGGCGCCGCAACAGAGACATTCGGTACTCTGTTCGCTCTTTTCTACGGCGGCGTATACGGCCGCGCCACGATCCGTCATCTGTCGCCGAGGTGCCGACATCGTTGCTTTCGGTATGGGTTGCCTAGTGGGTTGCTTCGGGGGCTGCTTCGTGGGTAGCGCGCTCGTTCGTCTCGTTGGTGATGCTATTCGCAGATGTCGGGTCATGAGATCGGCTTCGCTCATTAAAAACTCTGCCATCTTGATGATCGTAGGTCTAGTGTCCTCCTTGTTTTTTTCAGCGTAGTGACACCAGTGGACCTGTAAGTGAGGGGTCAGCTTCTCTGACACTTCACTCTCAAGCGCGGGATTATGTAGGAATCTCGCCCCCCTGTCGATATCCGCGACGATGGTGGTGATGTTCTGTAGTTTAATGGCGAAGTCAATCACCTCTGTTGTCGATGTTCCTATTACCGGCATCCTTCTCAGATCTTTGAGGGCGCGGTCGATGATGGCCTCTGTCCGGCCGTACCGCTGCTCCAACGTCCTCATGATCTGCGACGGTTCTGTAGCGGATACGAGTAACGCTGCGACTGTCTCTCTCGCTTTTCCACGTAAGCAGGCCCTCAGCCTGGCCAGGTTCTCCGCTGGTGTGATCCTGTACGTCTTTGTAGACTGGTCTACGGCCGCCTTAAACGCTAGCCATTCACTTGCTTCGCCGCTGAAGGTCGGGAGATCTTGGGCTTGCCTCGGCGCTACCCTATCCGCTCGTTCGTCCACAGCTCGTTCAATAGCTTTGGCCAACCGGGTGAATCCTTCTTGCATCCCGGCTTCAGGAGCGGGGGACCTCCGTCTTTGCTTCGGCGTCCTCGGCGGTGAAGCTTGCCTTTCTGTTGGCTCTTTCTGCGTAGGCGGTGGGGAATTAATTCTCTGCTCCCCCCGTACTTCGGTACGTTGAAACCAATCCGTTATACGTTGCAGGCCGGCACCTTCCTCGGAGCACACGCTATCTCTATCGGTCTCTTCATGTACCGCGGCGACATCGGCTGCCAACTTCTTTCTAATTAAATCAGCCTGTAATTTCGCCATCTGTAGCGCTGCCTCGTACTCCAGCCTCTTTAATTTAGCTATACCGCTAGCGGTAGAGCGGCGCGATCGCACCGACGCGGCCCGGGCCGGACGTACATCTGTCGTCGGCGGCTGCGACGGTGGCGCCGGTGCGGAGTCCGAGGTAAACGCGGCGCGGGCGGCTTGTGCCTGTGGCGCGCTCGACGGCGCGGCGGACGCGGACATCTGCGTGGTTTCTGAAGGGGACGCTTCTGTCTGTTCATTTTCCCGCGTGGTCTTTTTCTCTGCTCCCGGGGCTTGGCTTCTCGTAGTCGGCATCGTGTTCTGGCACTTGCAAGCCCCTAACCTACCGGTCCCTACCTACCTAACCGTCCCTAACAATCCCTCAGGATAACACCCGAGGGGATGGACTATGGGGATAGGAGGGTAGGAATTACCCCGCAGTGGTGCGTATGTACAGACGGGGCGCTCAGGGCCGGTTCGGACTTTCCGACCCCTTTGGCAGTGCCTACAGTCCGGCCCCCGCTATACGATACACACGTACAGGCGTAATAGTGCTATTCGGTTGCGCCACGGTAACAAGCAACAACCGGCAGTGACACACCACCCACTGCACCGCTCAATGGCGTTAACCCACACTCCGACCGTTTGACACCGTTAGGTGGTAAGAGATGTGAGCCGCGGACACACCGCTTAGACGTTATCTATCCTATATGGCGTAGACGTTATTTATCCTATCCTCGCTGCACCCTCAAGTTTTCACCTTACGACGGCAGCTAAATTCGGTAAGCTGCTAGCGTCGCACCGTTGGGTGATCTTCCTCGGCGAGGTACGTCGCACCGTTGGGTGATCTTCCGCGGCGATTCGTCGCACCGTTGGGTGATCTTCCACGGCGATTCGTCGCACCGTTGGGTGATCTTCCACGGCGATTCGTCGCACCGTTGGGTGATCTTCGGTCTTGATATCCGGCTCGATGGACCACAAAATTGTGGGGTACACAATTAAAAGGTCTTCGATTTTCAAAATATGTGGACTGTATTTCAATTTGTTTCTTATTCTATGGGTCGGCCGGCCGGAGTGGGGTTTTCTTGGTCGTTGCGCCGGCGGTGGTTCTTCGTCGGTGGCGTATGCGTAAGAGAGCGCGATCGAGAACCAACCCGCCTTTTACGGGCGCCCGAGCGCGTCCTTCCCCACCCCCGCCGAGCTGTGCGCGTCGGCCGTCCCACCCTCCCGACAATTCCTGCACATGTCGGTGACCGACGGGCCGGAACAGCGAATACGCACACATTTAAAATTAAATACAATAGTAACAATACAAAAAACTACAAAAAACCACGTGCGACTAAATGCCACATGTTCAGGCTACACTAAAGCTGTGATCCCTAAGAATTTACACAATGGGCGGGCATAGAATTCACAGTATCTATGCCGCTACAAAGGGTATATGGTACAAACAATAGTCTAACCTAAACAATAGTCAAAACACTGGAAAAATACAAATTTATACACAAATTTATTTACATATTTTCGATGCCGACTCGTGGTCCGCAACCCACATGCTGTAGTCTCTCAAGAAAACCTCGGCAGGTAGTTCATTCCACAATCTAAGTGTACGCGTGTGTAATTATACGGCTTAAGTGTGAAGTTGAGTGCAAAAATACAATGAAATCCTAAGTTAGGAAAAAACGAAATTACTTTCTGAACAACCTAATAGATTTTTTTTTTATACTACGATGGTAGCAATCAAGCATACGGCCCATCAGATGGTAAAAGGTTACCGTAGCCTATGGACGCCTGAAACACCAGGGGTGTCACATGCGCGTTGCCGACCCTTAAGAAACCTTAATATACCCTTCATGAAAAACCACATGCTGTAGTCTCGTGGGAAAACCTCGGCTTAAAAAAGTTATATTATTATTGCTAAAAACACAAAATTAGGACAAAGACAGTGATAAACCTGAATAATTCATACAACACAAAGAGTAGAGAAAATTTGATTGTTGCAAAGGAATAAAAGAAAATAAAAATACGACAATCAAAATTGGATTCGCGAAAATAGAATATGAAGAAAGAATACTTTATGCAATATCAATAATAAAATCATATTTTTATTCTAGTGGCGCGAACGAGGCTTAACTTTTTTTTAAACTTTTTTTTTTATTCTAAACACGTAGCAGACATTAATAACGAGTGAGAGCTCACGCCTTTCAATCGCTGAGAAATACATGTCTCTGTAGATCGGATTGTCTTTTGAATTCGGATTTGAAGTGCTGACTTTCCAAATATATTCCATACAAGCCACCCATCCTGGCTTCGTACGTACGTGCATGTATTATACATATAAACCTTCCTCTTGAATCTATCTATCAATTTAAAAAAATCCGCTTCAAAATCCGTTGTGTAGTTTTAAAGTTTTAAGCATACATAGGGACGGACAGACAGCGACAGCGACTTTGTTTTATAGTAGCTATTCGCCCCGGCATCGCCCGAGTGTACATGTATTATACATATAAACCGTCATCTAGAATGACTTTATCTGTTAAAAAATATTAACTAAACATTTTTTACAATTTTTGTCTGTCTGTCTGTTTGTTCCTGCTAATCTCTGAAATGGCTGATCCGATTTTGGCGGGACTTTTTTTGGCAGGTAGCTGATGTAATAAGGAGTAACTAAGGCTACTTTTATTTTAGAAAAATTCTCTAATTAACTTTTTTGTTAAATTCTACGCGGACAAAGGCGCGAGTACAGCTAGTATAAAATAAAGTCGCTGTTCTGTCTGTCCGTCCCTATGTATGTTTAAATCTTTAAAACTACGCAACGGATTTTGAAGCGGTCTTTTTAATAGATAGAAATTTCACGAGTGAAACCACGGGTACAGCTAGTAGAATAGTAATTTCACATTTTCTTTATTCTCTGGTAACTACAAGTATTGAGTAATTTAGTTTACCACCCACGCTATAGAAATAGAATAATGTAGAGTTACAGCTGAAAGCTCCGCCCGCGCTTTTCCAATCAGTAAATAATTAAGCTCAATGCGAATCCGTTCTTGAGAATGTACAACGATTACGGTGAAAGCACAAAGTGCTAAATGCTTATATTGAATAATACATTTTACTATATAATTTAATTATTTATTTATTTATTAACACCTGAAAGATAAACAATTATACAAAGAACAAACAAATTTTGTTCTTTTACTATATTTTTACTATTGCTGTATGTTACTATTTTGTTCTTTTATTTATTTATTTTTTTGTATATAATGATTTCATCTCTAATTTAATGAATTGTTTTTTATTTACGTTTATCTTATATAATAATTTATATGCAGCTGTCGGTATAGTTTTTATTGTGTTGTGATGTGTGATGTAATAAATGTTATTCTATTCTATTCTAAATTATAAATAATAGAATAGAATAGAATAGAAAATCATTTATTCAAATAAACTTAATTTAAGCACTTTTTTTTTATACTACTATGGTGGCAAACAAGCATACGGCCCATCTGATGGTAAATGGTTACCGTAGCATATGGACGCCTGAAGCACCAGGGGTGTGACGTGCGTGAATAGTTATAACAATTTATTTTTTATCGTTACAACTCTATAAATAATAAACTCACAAATTGTGTAGTTTATGATGTGTACCACCTTACATTTCCTATTGCCATTTAGTATATAAGTTCGATATTTACATACTACATATTGTCAGTCAATTATCATCTGTAATATACATCGTCTCAACTGACAACATAGTATTATTAACTCGCAACATGTATAAATTTTACTTATCAACCTTTCGAGATTTTTTCGCCAACAGTAAAAAGTTTTCGATGATTCTTTATAGGGTATAACATTACATTTGTGTTATAGTATAGACACATTAGACAAACCTAATAAAGCGGGCAAGGATTGGTTAATTAAACATGCGAAAATTACACACCAAAACTTATATATTCAGAAGAAAAAACTATCAAATTCAGAACCACCTTTACACAAACGGTTCAGGATATTATTTTTCAAATTAAAAAAAAAACACGAGAACAGTTCACTGTCTGCTATCGTTAAAACACCTTATTACCATAATTGTGTTGAAAAAACAACGGAGCTTATTGGAAAGTAAATAACAAGCAAAGCTCATCCATTAGATCGTAATTAGATATTTTGTTACACGAAGCAAGCTTCGAGATACTTAAGTTTAAAAACCTAAAATATGTACAACCCAACACTAAACTCTAGACTACTATAGTGTCCTCTAGTGATATATAATAATAATCCTTACTAATATAATAATAATGTTGGGGCACTTCATACGACGAACTAATTAATAACTTTTTTTTTCAAGAGTTCAAAATTTTTTTATTTATGTACGTCCATTATTGTATAATAGACGTACATTATATATATATAGTTATATATCATTTTCTATTTAGTTTACTTTTCATTATATAACCTTATCTAGCTATCTAGCGTATATTGAATGCGTCTATATAAGTTTTGTACCGAACTACACGCTCCTAGTTATATTATTATATTGACTGTAATCTGTTTTGTATGCTAATAAATAAATAAATAAAAAAATAAATAATAAACCTACCGACTTAAAAACTATGATTTTTTAATATATCAACAGATATACACGCATACACATTTTATAAGACAATATAAATTAAAAAAAACAGAGTATATTAAATAAGAAGAAATAGAAATATACTTTATTCAAATAAACTTAATTTTCAAATTCAAAAATCATTTATTCATGTAGGACATTTTAGCCGCTTATGAACGTCAAACTTTTAACATTCTAAATTTATTTTTTTCCCTACCGTCCGTAATATAAGTTATATAGAAACAGTGCAATATATAAGTTTAAACATAACGTTATGTCATTGCTGTCCTTACTAGGTCATTATAATGACCTGTATGAAGGACATCCAGTTACATTCTCTAGGTGAAAATTTAGTTTAATTATTATGAAATAAGAAAGTGTGAGAATTTTGAGTTCTAGCTATTAAATACTAATGATAACAATATTACTGCTATTGTAGGATGCTAATGTGCATGGAACATGTTCGTGAGTACAATATAAAAAAAAATAGATGGAAAGAGAGGAGGGGGAGACCAAGACAGCTATATCAAGCAGGTTAAAGAAAAAGTTAGAGTCGTGTCGTATCAACAGCTAAAGGGACTGATATGATAGAAGATCGTGGAAGGTGGCGGGAGCTCCACCGGCAAGAGCACAGCTCTTAAATTATTAATGAATGAACTAATATAATAAATGCGAAAGTAAGTTTGTCTGTCTGTCTCGCTTTCACGCC